ATATATATATATATATATATATATCAACCGCACCTACTTTATATTGTCGATGTGCACCACGGCGACAAGTATCGTTAACTGTTGGCTCGTTTTAGCTCGCAAGATTTATGAAAAATCCACATGATGTATATACAAAGATACTGTAATCGCGCGATACGTGTTCGGTAGGACAGCTTTTCCTCGTTCTTTTGTACGAACAAGAATATAATTGCACAAAATTTATCTTCCTCCAAGGTTGCAGATATCAACATGTATTACTACCGTTCGAAAACAGAGGAGAAAAACATACGGGAATCGTATTTCGATCGAACATCGTCGAAACGCGAAACACTGATGTATAATTCGATATTGTGCACGAGCGGTAAACAAGTCTAACGGCCCTTGCGGGTTGTCGTGACGGTAAACTTGGGACATAAAATTTTCAGTTGCAAAAAGAATCAGTCAGGAAGCTATTTTAGACAAGACAGGATAGAAGCGATGGTAAATATTGCGGAAATAGTTAGGATTTAACTTGGACATCGTCACGATGCTCCGCGGAATTGCGTCTTTTGTCAGGCGGTAAACGACGCGCATACCAGGAAATATAACAATTGCCAATATGATTCATTCACAAACGAATACAGCGGGCGTGAGTCAATACATCGACGTCAATTAGAAATAGGACAAGCTCCGTGGCGCCGATCGTGCGCATATCGCGACCCTACACGAAGAGTTGCGCAATAATATCGCTTATTATATACGCGAATCACGCCGGATTCCGTGTCGTTGCAAACAAAACACACAAGTTGCCGACAAATCTAATGAAATTTGCCTCGTTTTCTTGCAGAAACCTTTTCGCCCTGGATGGAACAGACAACCAATATACCGACATTCGACGAAATAATTTTTCCACCCGACGACAACAGTCAAAATAATGAAACCAACTATCATCTGGATGTTTTTAAACCGCAACATCATCAATCGCCACAACAACAACAATATCGCACCCAGAGCCTCCTGGAAGAATTTGAAACTGTCTTAGGAGGTGTTGGCACTTGCCATCAGACCATTCCGCAAACAACTCAAGAACAGACCGAAAGCTTGACCGGTAGTTCAACACTGACTCCTCCAGAATCGCCACAGCAGGACATAGGTACGAAGCTACTGGTCACTTTGCACCCTTTGGATTACGAAGACACCCTGCAAACTGCAGGAACTGTAGTCCCTGAAATCGTTCAGTCCAGTTCACCAGTGTTTCCCAGCAACGAGACCGAAGTGGTCTACAACACAATTGTATCGGTCGAGAACCCGTTCGTAAACAGCACATCCAGTCAATGGAACACCGTCGAGAATATATCGTTGGGGGGTTCGTTAGACGGGGACGTGGCGAACGATTTCGCAGTAGTAGAGGAGTACGTCCGTTCGCACACCAAGGACATACAATCGCCGTCGAGCCCGTGTAATAGCTCCAGCAGTAGCTCGGCGGGGGACACTACCGACGATCCCGACTGGAACGTCGTGCAGAGCAAGAAGAACAACTCGAAGCCGACTACTTCCAGAAATCACCAAAAACTTTATCGACAATACTTTCGGCCATCTATCGAGGACAAGAAGGTGCGGAAAAAGGAACAAAATAAGAACGCTGCGACGCGTTACCGGCAAAAGAAGAAACAAGAAATAAAGGACATCGAAGGTGAAGAACACGAGCTTACGGAAATCAACGGAAAGCTCAAGGATAAAGTGACAGAAATGAAACGCGAAATTAAATGCCTGAAAGGATTGCTGAGGGAATTATATAAGGCTAAAGGTGTACTTCAATAATTTTCATTTGTTCAATTATAATTAGCTTTTTCGTTAATCATCAATATTATAATTTAGTTTTAATTGGTTAACTAACAGTAGTCGTTTTTATTAGCTTCGTCCAATTAGATTAACACATGAATTTGTACAATAATCATAATCATAGCAAATTAATTTTTATAAATATTTACATGTTTTAATACTCTCGGCTATTTATGTAAGCTGAAGAGAATAAATATTACCACCACTACATATTTTAATACTTAATTTTTAATAAGCATAATATATGCGTTATACATTATATACGTATCAAATATGTGCTCTATATATATATATATATATATATATATATATATATATATATATATATAGCACGTGTTTGATATGTACTAGCTTAATCTTTTGTTATGTTTCCGCAGCTTATTAGAAAGACTATCGACTTATCATTGTTGAAACAACATATATATATATATATATCTCATCTCTTAACAATGGTCTGTCAACATTGACAAATGCGAAGTGCGTTAGGTAACGTGCGTGGCATTTCCGATTGCATGTAGGCTTGTGAATAAGAATCCAATAATGATGAAGTATCAATTCATATATTTTTTTAAATATTTTATCTAGAGACCCATGAATAAATATTTGTTATATAAATATTTTTGAATTAATAGTAATTAAGAGGACTTTGGAGAAAATACATCAGTCAAGGATGTTTTAATAAAGTATCTTAAACAAAATTCTGTACATTAAAATCTTTTAATAAAATATTTTATAATTAAAGAAAAGTTTAGAAATTATAAACAGGATGAAAAGTCAATAAAGATTATCATTGACAACAATTTTTAGAATTGTTAATAATAAAACTTAATAAGTAATTACTAACAATTATTTGAAAATTGATTTCCAGAATGCATGCAAAAATTTGAACGTTATATGATGTAATTGTATATTGACTATATTATTTGTTATATAACTCTAAATTTTTCTCGTATATTCTATTCCATTGAAATTGTTCATGGGAGAATGAATTGAATAGTATTGGTATTATCTTTATTGCATTTCAGAAACTGACTCATTACTGTTTATACATTCCACCAGTTGCCTAGCGCACTTTTCCGATGCGAATCCTCATTCCGGTTAATTTTTACCCTACTTTTTCTTACAGTAAAATGTACATTAATATGTACAATAAATGAGTTTTAAAAAACATGGACAAAGAGATGTTTCTTCTTTTCTTATCGATACATTTCCAAGGTGAGAGTAATACGAGGCGGAGTCGAGCGTAATAGTTGCAATGCTGGCTTTATCATCATTCGAATGAAGGAGAGTTTAGAGTTTTAATTTTTTAGCGTAACCGATAACATTTATCTAATGCGAAAACGGTTAAAACCTAAGCAAAATTAAGACCAATAAGAGCCAAGACAAGATATGTCCGTGTCCCTAAAATTTATTATTATAAAGGTCTAGATTGTGAAAAGACCAGTACAAATTTAGACGTTTCTAAGTTTGAACCTTCTTCAGTAACTTTCATGAAACCGCTCATATATACATATACAAATATTATAAATATATACTTATCGTTCGAACAAATGGCGCACGGATATTACTTAAAATAAATCGTGTTAAACGCATAGAAAGCAATAGTAGTCAGGCGATCTAGTCGCAGCCGAGAATGGATTAAATTGTTAATCTGTCCTTGTAGATTAGCGAACTTTAAACTATCCCAGATAGTACAAAGAAATAAAAAATAATTAAAAAAGAATTCAGTCATATATCACCAATTCTGAATTCATTTTCAGATGCAAAAAGAATTCTTCACAGTTCAGTTCAGTGAAAAGAATTCTTTTTGCATCCAAAAATGAACTCACAGAATTGGTGATATCCCAGACAACATAATGTCTAAAATCGGAACATAAGACGTCTTATTGCTTGTCCACAACCTTGCTTTAATCTTTAAGCCGTAAGAAATTGACCAACCACAGTCGATTATTATTTTAAAAATAATCAACTATGGTTAGTCAATATCTTACGGCTTAAAGATTAAAGCAAGGTTGTGGACAAGAGGTTAAAGATAATCTTTAAGACGCCTTAAAGACATTTATACGTAAATCGTCTGAAAGATATTTTAAAGATGATCTTTAAGACGTCTTTTTTAAGACGTCCCGATTTTAGACATTATGTTGTATATTATTGTATATTATGTTGTATATTATTGTATATTATTGTATTAACGCGTTTAAAACCGTTGACATTTACATTGACTTTCATTGCTCACCGATGAAGGAAATCAACGTTTAATATACATCGGTTGACCTCGAGGAAATGCGAACGCATATGCTCGAAACGCGTAAATTACATAAAGAACCACGCGTAGAACGACAAACAAGAACGACGAGCACTTCCTGTAGGACGTGTTCGTGTTCGCGAGTGAACGATGTGCGCGAGCCGCGGAAAACATGCAGAAGCGGACATCGGTCCTGCTGCTTCGGAGGTGCGATTTGCGGCCGATCTGGAAAGAAGACACGGACATTCTCTCTCGGTGCGTTCGATACATATAAAACTCGTTTATGCATTTGCAGCACACAGCGACAGCAGCTTGTTTCTTCTTCCCTCGCGCATAAATACAGTCTTGCGTCAAAGTCCTCGGTTAGACCGCCGTCTTTCTTTTCAAATAAATTTCAGAAGAATCCCGACTTAATTTGGGATTTTTGATTGAGTCGATCCTGGGACAAATACCACAGTAAAGTAGAAACGGTAAGAGTTCGGCAACTCCACCTCTCCCACCTCTCGACTTCGGTCTTGCCGGACAGGTCTGTTAAAATAACGGGAGTTTTTCACGTCACGGCACTAACAGTTGACACAAAAATCTAACATGCTCCTCGCAAAATGATCTCGAAGCGGCGCGTTCCAGCCGAGAATGGGATTCACATGCCGCCGAACAAAATGAAGCTCCGGGCCGCTCTTATTGTTTGAAATCTCGCGCATTGGGCGCGAGAGAGGTACGGAAATAATTTATGCCGCATTTCTCGATTTTGACGTCATCATTATCGATCGGTCAGACCTTGAACAATTTCTTTCTTTACTTTGTGAGACGTTGTGTACGATAAAGCGCGCTCATTAATATTTATCGAATCCTTTTTTCGAGAGTTTAATGTCAAATCGTTGGACCTTTCGCCAAATTTTGCGTGCCTTCGGTTCTTTTTGAGTTTCTTTGTTGAGAGAGCGCCCGGGGAGCCAAACAAACGTGGTACAAAGAAAGTATATAAAGGTACATCTATATACATATGTACATACATATTTGTTTCTCAATTGTATTTTTTATTTCTGACACACGAGTGCACACGCACACTCAAATGCATAATTACATACACGCGCCGGCGTGTATACATACTTTTATTTACATACAATCTTAATGATACAACAAACGAGATATTTTAACAGTTGCGACGTAAAATAGTGAAAACCGACCACGCGGTTATTTATGTATATCGTAACATAATCATCCGCTGGATCGCCTGTACAGCACTGCTTGCGAGAAATGCATCGTTTCGTCGAACATCCAAATGTAACACCATCCTAACCTTCGCCTTAAACGTCCGTATATATTATATGTACAAAATACCACATATATTTATTACACATAATTTGTTCTCGATATTACTTATTATCGATAAGAATCTGTCTCTCGGAAATAACATGTAACTATTGTCCAAAGTCGATTACTCATATTCCCGACGTTTAACAGTCTAAATTCATTTATATGCATAATAGAGTGGATTAGCGTGAATATAGTTAACACGTTTCTCGCGACCTTGCTCCAGGTTTTGAGTTACTAAGTATATTCAACGGAATCTTCGCAATAATCACATGGCACATATTGATTGATAGCTTCCTTAATGTCAAGCTTTAGCTGCACAACTCGTACATCATACTCAGACGAAAAACGTGTTAAATATACAATAACAACAGCATTCTTTCAATTTCATTGATAAAATGCATAATCGTAAAACATTCTTCTCTTCCTTTTTTCGTTTTCCTTTTCACGTTTCCGTAATATTCACTGTTTTTATACTCCTAAATTAATGTACATGTGTAATGTACATACATAATTAAATCACCATCAAATTAAACGTGAGAAAGCACCCATAAATTAAAAGATAATAAAGGGCTAGAATATCGTACAATCTAATATTTCATAATAAAGATTCGTTTCTCTCAATGAGAATGTGAAGCTGAGCCTTTGCAATAGTTCGACATAGGCACACATATAGATATACACTGTGTTTTTTAAGATATATTAATTTCATAATATTTACAATTTCATGGGGAGGGAGAAAGAATAGAAAGAGAGAGAGGTGTTTAATTATTTTATAATATAATACTTAAAAACGTCCCATATAACGAAATAATCAACATATTATCACAACTTTATAAGAACTCTTTCAAAAATCGCATCTCGATAAATAGAAACGGAAATGTGATATGTAATTTATACAGTAGAAATCGGTTAAGACAGAGATGTATGTTTTACGACAGCAAAATAAATTTGGTGCAAAGTGTACAAGTTCTTCTGGAATGTTCTCGTATATAAGAAATCGTTATGAGTATTTTTGAATCATTAGATCTCTGAGTCACACGATTAATAAAAGTTAAAAAAAAAAAAGAGTTACTAAGCAACTACGTAACATAAGTATACATCAGAAAAACAATCATATTATAACTAAACGAATTGCGCAGCAAACGTTTCTCATTTCTGTTTGGATAGTTTATAAGTAAAATATAAATATATATACGTATATATGTGCATATAGATATATGTATAGAGTTAATCACAATATGCTTGACTGAGAAGAGACATGTGTTCTCTTTTTTTTCCCACCATTATGTCTAGCGATGCAAAGACAAAATATATATTTAAAGAAATGCAATGTATATCTATATAAGTTGCCAACCGTGTTACCTCCCATACATGGAAGTCTAGGAAAGAGTGTTTACTTTTAGTTGAAGGAAATAATTAAGCAAGACTAAGAGCTGAGAGAAAAAGAGAAAGAGATTTGGAAGTTCCTATGTTGCCGTGTCTCCCTCTTCCTGTTCGAGCCTGGAAGAACCGCAAACGCGACATTTACAACATACGATACAAGGCGCCGCTAATAATAGCAAGGGCGATGCGACGAGTAGAAGTAGGCCAAAACCGGCGAAGATCCCGATAACTTGCGTTCGATGCCATATCACGGATGCGCGTGAGTGGCCTAATTTATTCTTACATGGTCCCTTGTCGTAATGACGCAACAGAAAGTCATCCTATAATATCAAGTTCAACAACGGCATTAGTCACGCCTGTATCTTTAAACGTGAAGTCAGCATAGTGAAAGCTCGGGGACATTAACTCCTGCGTACTCCTGCAACATGTCGAGGATACTCACGTCTAGGGATGCTAAGCAGTACCAGCAAAACACGTGTTTGCATCGCTTGCACATCATCTGAGCGCAACCCTCGTCCTTCTCTATCGGCACAGAACACATGGGACAGCATTTAATATGATCGCTATCGAATGGTATCCCTAACGGAAGATCCGGGCAAGGCCCATTATGCCAAGGCTCTCGACATATCGAACAGAAATCCGCAGAGCAGTTGGGACAGTGCACGGGACCTAAAGGAGTGCCGCTTCCACTGTTGCCATTTATCGAACATATCGTTTCACAACCCGCACGTGGACACCACGCGCGCCCCTTGTCCATAGATACATCTGCGTACAAAGCATATTAGTGGTATCAGTGGTGAGTAAACGATCTCTCTCTTTACATACACCTCGCACAGAAACACATCGAGTGAGGTCACTAGAAAATTTATTCATGGGATATGAAGTCACATATCCTGATATACAGAGTTTATTTCTGTGAGTGAACTTCATATCCCACAAGTGAATGTTCAAGTATTTTATTCTCAATACATGCAACTCGCGAGATGCACGAACGATGCTTACCTCTATTTAAACGGAACTTGCAGTGTTTTTCCACAAGCTCCGAGCTGACGAGGCTCGAGATCTCCTTCAGTGTGAGTATAGCGCCATGATCGCACTGAGCATCGGGACAACTAATCTCATACGCGCCTTCTTCGATCTCGAACTCTACATAGGCACGCATGCACTAGAAATGACGGAAACATAAGAACAGGGATATTACATCCTCGTATAAAGTAAATGTACCAATGCCTGGATACACACCTAATTCTGGGTTTTATTATTATTTCCTATTCTAACATATTATTATTGTTTGGTATTTAAATAAGAAATATTCCAACTTTCAACAAAGAAAGCATATACACATACACTCTATATTAAAAATTGAAATATTTGTATTCTAAGATCAAACAATAAGAATATCCAGAGCATTATTCATGAATCTTTTCATGTTAACTTAATTTTACATCAATCATGTAATCAATCGTGCAATCAATCACACAATTCTCTCCTTCCAGTATAAAATCACATAGAATGAAGAATTTTGGCAGTACTTAATAGTATATACGATCATGAATCTTTTGCTCTGATGTAAACTTGTGAAGAGTGAGCATTTCAATAGATACTTTCAAGTATTAGATCCTTCACTTTTCACGAGTTAAAAGAAAGGATTGATAACTGAGCCTCAGGTATTGATGCTTTCACCCTACGAGAACGTAAGAATGCACGTTGACATCTCTGATGCAGTGAAGATGTGGCAAGGCTTCACTTACATCCTTACAATAGGAACAACCACATCCCTCTATCTTAAATGACTTGGAGAGAGACGTATCAACTAGACACAGTTTACAGAATATCCGTCCGATTGTCTGTTGGGAGCTCGCGGGGACGAAGTTACCAGCGGCCAGGCTGTAATGCGAACTGGACGCCAACGACAGCAGGCTGGAGCAACGCGAGCAGACCCTGCTGCGATTGATGGGCCGGCCCTCCAAGGCCGAGGTGCTTAGCCCCACGGCGGTTTCGCACTTCCTCAAGGCGCCGGGACCCAGGCTCATCCAGCTACCGCCGCGTGCCTCCAGACTGGCGCTGCTTTCAGGTCGCAGCAGTGGCGCGTCTGCCTCTTTACCCGGCATGGTCCTCTCCGTCAAGGAGAGATTCACCACGCTGGCCTCTTTGCGTATCAGCGGCAGCCTGAGTTTAGACTTGTCGATCTTCTTTGGATTTGCGGCCGTGATCTTGGTGGGCGGATTAACGGATGTCACTGAACTGGTCGCGGCACCCATATCCGTTAGCGGGGCTCGTCGTAAGACGAGCGAGTGTAGGCTAGGCATCCCCTGAATGTCGCTGCCGGTTATAGACGTGGACTGCGTTCGCCGACCGCCCGGCGGAGAGCTCCCGTCCGCGCCCGTCGTCGTCGTTCGCTCGCCGCTGACAGTAGGGGAACGCATGAATTTCGATAATTACATGTACACAGTGTATTCACATAGCGTCGTCGCAGCAGCCCGTTGTCGCACGCACGCTGATGGATCTTTCCGCCGCTCGTCATAATAATCCCTGTCATTCGCTACCTCCTGCTGCTGCTGCTGCTGCACATACCCTCTGCGTGTGTGTGCGCGCGCGCGTTGAGAGTGGAAGAGAACACCTTATCAGACGCTCCTGTGTTTCCTCTAGGTGTTGTCCGCTGTCCCACCCGCGAAAGCGTCTCGCCTGCTCGCGCCTAACCGTCGACGTCACGCGCTGTCGACGGCGCGGGTACGCGATCGTCCCGGACCGCAACAGCTGATCGCCCCTGATAGAGAGAAGGAGAGAGCGAGAGAAAACGTCGACGTGTGCGAAGTGTATCGTCACGCGGAGAATGCGAGTCGCACCAGATCACCAGCTCGTGAACATGACGAACACTGTCACTGTCGCGTCGTCAGGACGCGGGCCCGCCACAGGCATCGCGACGATGCAGCTTTCCTTGTCCGTTAACGCCACTAACGATCGTCGCGATCGCATTTATCACTCGCTGCTGCTGCCGCCGCCACCGCCGCCGCCACCGCCGCCGCTGCCGTCGCCACCAAAGCTTTCACTGTTATTCGTGGCGCACGAGATGTCCCACTCTGTTTCGCAGTGTCAGCTATGTCAGCACGCACAGTTTACGGACGACATTTTTACCTTCCCCGTTGCGCACACGCATTCACGTACACTTAACACAAACGCGTCGCATTCACGAGTTGTCCGATTCAACCCGACAGACTGCTGCTGCTGCTCCCGATCCCGTTTCCTCATTCGCTTTTCTTACCGAGCGCACCGTCGTGCGGCCGCAAAGCGGAGCACTTGGATGTGATCGCGGGCGAGATATCTTCGCAATTAGCAGTGAGATTGTTTTTGTTTTGACGCAGCATAATGCCCCGCGCGTGACTCACTTAGCGCGTACATACAAAGGATGCTAGGAGGCAGTAGGATGTAGAGTGAGACAGAGAGCGGAGACACACACCAGCGGGGCGAGTCTGCGAAAGCCGCGACTCCCAGAGACGACTAGTGACGTCCGCGAATGTCCGCTTCGCGATTCAGGGTCTCTCGTCGTTTTAGCTGCGCTTTCTGCACTTTGCCCGTCTCTCTTTATTCTCTCTCTCTTTCCCTCTCTTTCTGTCTATCTATCTCTACGTTTGACTCTATCTAAAGCTTCAACATAAAAATCCGTCTCCTATATGAGCATTTATAATTATAATCGTTAAGTCGATACTCACAATTAATATTTTTGAGCGACTGGTAGGTTCGTGGAGGACTTGTCGGTAGTTTGCGAAAGTGCAATTGCGATTGTAGCTAAACGAACACGCGCGACGAGCGCTCGACCGAGACAATCGCGCGTGACATATCGCTCGTGTGTAAATTGTATATATATGCTGTAAATGTTGCCGCAACTAGACTATCTGAGACGATCTTTGTCGGCACGCCACGAGGAAATCGAACCACCGAAGTGGTGTAGTCGATCAATCCATCTTTGTCTAAGTTCAATCGAGTTACTTCGAGATTTACTGGACGTTCCACACGATTAATTTCCCTCTGCGTTTTCTCTGAGATTGTAACGCACGTTTAACAATGAAAAAAATACTTTTTCTCTCGTGTGCCAAATTGTCCGTGACTTCGGAGAAACTATACGAGCGCAACAGAAAAGATTAAACGTATTTGATACCCTACAGATCAATACATTGGCATTACATAATTTAGAACTGTAAGCGGCTATTGATTGGCCTTTCTCGAAGCCGAAGAAAGACAGAGAAAGAGCCGAGAAAAGAGAGGAGTGTTATTTATTTTATTAGTTCCTTTTCTAATAAATATATATAATAGTGTTCTCTCTAAGGTTGCATCGGTGAAGCTCCGCTAGAGGATTTTACTCCTCGTTAGTAACTTCGATGGCGACTAATTAATCGCGACTAGTTATATCGAACATACAACTCACAGAGCTTGTACCGTCCACTTCAAATTTTTTCACTTTCAATTTCTTCAAAGCCACTTGATTCAACATAAATTCCCTTCCCGTTTGAATTAAATTTGAATTATATCAATATAGCCACAAACGGAATAAATGTATAAAAATGTTATACGCAAAGTTTAATTTTACGAAATTTGCATTCATGAGGCTGAAAAGTTTATTGTTCATACAGGTACAAAATAAGACCGATATTAGGATTTTTATTGAGTCACTTGGAAAGTTCGAGCCACGCTCGAGAAATCTCTCGCCGGTAAAAATTCAAGAATCTTCAGAAAAGAATCTTTAAATCATATTAAAAAATTGTGAAAGTATGTAAAAAATTGCGAAAGATAATGATGTGCATATATACAATCGCGTGCACGTACCAATAAAAAAACGTATACATTTTATATCTACATATAAAAAATTTCGCATTACATTTCTTTTTAAAAATTCATACGTACTCTCTTTTTTTCTGTATCTCACCACACCACAAATAATACTCATTATAAGTAGTAATCGATATTCTGATTATAGTTATAATCTATATGTAATACAATTAACAATTTGCGGCACATTATACACATTAATATTTACATACGAGCTTGTCAGACAATACATCTCGTTTACGTTTGCCATCCTACAATATATATCAGTAGTTATAAATACATTCTTGAATTCAAAATTGTATAAAAATTGAGCAAATTATCCAGAGAATAACAGATTACTTGTAAAATCAATTGCTAGAGAATACCAGCAATGAATACAGTTACGAATTTAAGCGCAAATTAAATAATTAAATAATTACATATAGTGCCTATTTTCCACATGAGAGAGTAAAACAAATGTGGATACTTTACGCAGGATATTCATTTTTATATCGTCACGCACTTTCTTAGTAAGCCTTTAATGTAATATTTTCTATCAGATGAAGTTCTTAAGCTTGTATCGAAATTATCGCTTTTGACTAGAATTCTTTGTTTTATGCGCTACGGGCATTTGCTAAATATACCGTGAACAATGTAAAACAAAGATGGTTTTTGAATGTTAAAACAATTCCACCAATGTTACTTAACGTACAACTGAGAAATTACAATTGTATGTAAATGTACTGTAACATATATCACTCACTTCAAAGAAAGCACTTCAGAACGTACAGCAGTGAAATGTGCGCAACTAATTATGTAGTTGGAAGTATTTACGGGAATGACATTCGCGCGAATAGCAACCGCTCAATTTGTATTGTAATGGTGATCGCTCGCGTCAAATTCGCTATTGCTCTGTAAATCGAGCATTAAATTTCTTTCTAATTAATTGTATTCCTATTAAGTTTAACACTGTGCAGATGGAGTTATGTTATATTTGTAAAACATTTTTACGAGATTATAAATATAAAAATATGACATAGCAGAAGCTTCTCCTATATTGTTTCATTTATCATCCCTCTGGACAATGATTACGAACAATCGCGTTCATTGTATTGGTTAGAGATTAAAATAAACATTACTCAAAATATCTAAGAAGAGTTAAGTGCAGTGTTATATTTGTTATCCAGCTGGTTGCTGTTCATGTTTATCACAATTTATCACACATCGAATTACGCAGAGAGAAATATGAAAGGAAGATGAAACTTAAAAAAATGTGCTTTAAATGACATTTTGAAATTGAACGTTTTCATTTGCCTGGTTTTTTTACAAAGAGATGTTACCAGGTATACTGTATTGTCCTTTCCTGGAATGTGTATCCACTGCTCTGACCGCGAAATAATAATTATTACCCTCAGAAAACTGTAAACAGAACGTTACTCTCATAGTATCCAATGAATCTCGGTGTAGAGTAGCTGTTTTTTGGACTATGAATAATATGACTCCATTGCAACAGATTTACCTGAGTCAAAGTACATGCCATAGGTAATGGTAATGCTCTAACATCTCCCACTTTCTTCCATAATGATGTACTCGGTGTTACACCTGCGACTTCCTGATATGCATATAATTGGTAACTGGCAATATCAGCATACTTATCGGTTAGTTGCATGTTCCAGGACAACACTATACCTACAACATGATATTGTTGTACAAAAGTGTACTATGCTCTATGATATAGATGAATATCGAGAGAAAAGAAAGAGATATTATCACATTAAGAATTTTAATAAATACCATTCGGGACTTTAGACATTTTTAATGATGGAGCAGGTGGTGGAAGTTTCCAATTCGTATTTATCGCATAACTTGGAGTATCTGGTAGTGGTGCAGGATGCTGAAATAAAACGAAATCATATGATCATGTGCCTGATATTATGATAAAATATTCAGACAAATTATTTTATACAATATAAAAACGATATAAAGATTTACATAAATGAATTTATATCTGAAAAATATTATTAATTATTTGAAATTCTATTTTAATAAACATTTTTTAAATGCACTACTCTGAGATTGAGCGAATGATCGCCTGCGATATTTACCTTGCACGCTATATTTATCGGTATATTTGATACAGCTGGCGTAGTTAGTACACGCACAGTACCATTAGCAATCGTTGAAGTTCCTTTAAAATGAGAGAACATAAAATTGCAAATATAAGTGCCTATACTCGTGAGAAAATTGATGTTGATTCTCATTCTTCCAAAAATACAGATATATTCTTACAAAGTACATATTTTTGTTAATATTTTGTTAGTAATTATAATATATACTATAATATATACTAGACAGGTTTACTAACCTGTTTTATATGTCACAGCTGGGAATGGCGTAGTTACTCTACAGGTAGTTATTGGTCGTATCTATAAGAATCCAATTTCTTATTTTAATACAGAACAATAATGGAATCACGTAGTCTTATCGTCATCCAAAATGTCAAAAATCATAAATAAACTATTAATATACCTGACTAGCGTTTGAAGTTATTAGTAATTGTCTCGTTGCACCTACACTACCTTGCATTACATATGTTACTCTGGAAGGTGCTCCATTATTCTATAAAAAGAATAAATAGGCATACAGAATGCCCCATTTCTTCTGTATTAATTTATACTCGCAGTTTCTCTGATTTGAAGCGGATTGTTCGTCATTTACTTCAATTTGTTCTCGATTTTTAATATTATATATATATATATATATATGTGTGTGTGTGTGTGTGTGTGTGTGTGCGCGCGTGCGTGCATACATATACATATAGACATACATACATATATATTTTTTTTTTATTATATTAAATGTATATATTATATATGCATATACATATACAGAGTGTCCCGAACCTCCATGATAACCTTTAGGAAAAACGTAGAACGGGTTGAGATGAGCAAGAAAGTCCTGTGCCGTTTTGCGATATTCGCAATAGTTTTTGAGAAATTAATTATTTTGTCTTAACAAATCAGCGTGCAGAAAGCGGCAACGGAAAGATGCGGCCGACGTGCGACTGTGACACTCGCGAATCGCATCTCGCCGCGTCCCTTCGCCCATAGCTACGAGACATAGCAAGGCTTGATATACTGATACATATGCATGACATATCCGTCTGCCGAATCGAAGCGTGTCGCCGTTTCGGCTGCATACATGTATGTAGAGATGACACAGCGAGCGGCGTGTAACACAAAATCGTGTGCCCAAATTATCTTTCGTTTTCTCGACGTCGTGGTAGAAAAGTGACAGCGCGCGATTACATTTAGAAGATTATTGTATAAGACAGCTCACATTAAAACCGTAATGTTTTCCTGTGATTAAAAAAAAAAATAGAAATAAAGAAAGCGATTCGCGGGTGTCACGGTCGCACGTCGGCCGCATCTTTCTTTCCGCTGTCGCTTTCTGTACGTTGATTTGTTGAGACAAAATAATTAATTTCTCAAAAACTATTGCGAATATCGCAAAACGGTACAGGACTTTCTTGCTCACCTCCGTTCTACGTTCTCCTCAAGGGTCATCATGGAGATTCGAGATACCCTGTATATATATATTTTTTTTGCAACTGAGCTTTAAATAAAAATTCTATTGAAGTCTTGACACATAACAATAAAAAAATATATACCACAACAGCAGTCGGTGTTGGCTGATTGGGCTGTACTACTCTTATATTCGTCGGTTGCGACGTAATCGATACGTTTGTTGGTATCGTTTGTATTACTCTTGGGAAGCATTGTACTGGTTTCGTTGTAATAGTCGTCGGCAGCTGCTGCTCGACTAAAGCTGGTACTGGTGTGGCAGTAATCTTCGTAGCTGCAATGGAAATTCGAGAGATTAAATATATCAATCAAAAAATGTAGGAGAATTTTATTATGTATTAGAATTTTATGTTTTTGACCATTATTCGCAATTCTTACGTATACACTTAAAAAGTGAATACACATTTTTAATACACATAAGTGCGACAGTGGGAAACGTCTGTATTGCATAAGTGCAGCAAACTTACATTTATTTTTTTCTTCTTCATCCGTAAGATCGATAAGGTCGTTATTTTTTGGCTTAGAAGCAATCAGCGTATTTGGACGATTTGTTTGATTCTGAACTTTACCATTTAGAACGTAAGTCTGCTGCTGCGACTGTAAAATTCAGGTGATTAACTGTAGCGCAGTAAAACATATTAATTATAAGCTCGTTAATACAATGAGATCGAGTGTTTTTCGAAAGTTTAATGTTAAAATATCATGACGGAACACGCTACAAACTATTGCTTTTGTATTTAATGCAAATATTATTGTGGCCTTACGATATTTCCTGTTAGAAGCTGTTGGATTGTGCTAGAAGACTGATTAGGTAGCGTTAACGTTTGTTGTGAGTCTAAGGGTTTCGCGACAACTAATGCCGCAGGTGTCACAGTGGAAATAAGAGGCGAAGTTTGCATCGAGCTCTGCGAGACCGCAGGAATGGAAGACGCTACGGATGTTTCAGGTCGTCGAGGCGATCTTATCTTGATTCCACGTCTTGGACTTGAATTTGTTTTGCTAGTTGGCTCAGGAACCGGGTTGCTGACACTGCTTGGAGCGTTCGGCGTCTTTTGCTGCGTTTGTTGTATTTGTCGCAAATTCTGTATTCCGTGTTCCTATTGAATGAGGAGCATTCATTTCACATGAGCCGCAATTATAAACAAATATAACATAACAAATAAATAATCTAGCACCAAATCCTCTCCAAAAATTATGAGTGTATATGTGTATATAAAGTAGTTGGAATATATAGTAATATATATATATAAAGTAGTTGGAATATAAATATATATAACTATTTATAAGTACCGTTACAAAGTTGACTTGTAGACCCACAGATCTATTGATTTTGATAGGTGTGACTATTTTGTCAGGATTTGTGCGACGATCTACCGCATTGCGATTCAGAACCATTTCGAAATCCTTGACTTGTTTCATCAGTTGCTGCAACTTCGTTCGCGTTGCTTCCTGACTTCTCTCTGATATGCGAGCTTGTTCTCGAAGTAGACCAATTTCGCTGCGCATCGTTATTGTTTCGACGATTTTTTGAATAAGCAGTTCTTCCAGTTGCTTAAGAAAATAATTAAATTTGTACATACAATATAGGTGATCATTGTAAGCTAAATTGAAATTTACTTAAATACTGTGTCTGAAATTACCTAATCCTTATATAAATGTTCTCTTACCTCCTGCGTGAGCTTCGGTATTTTCTCTTTGATGCTCCTTTGGCAAAATTTCTCAACAAAACTGAGTTTTGTGAAGTCGTTTTTGACATTAGTTTGTTCAGACTTGTTTCCCATTTTCACTTTCTTAACAGTACCATTAACAACAACATCCTCATCGCTAACTGGACAATTACGTTTCAATGAAGTGGACGATGTAGAATATAAGTGCTGATTTAATTTATAATTTACACTTAGTTCTTCGCTATCACTATCACTATCGCTAATGTCACTGTCGCTAATAAGATATTTTTTTCTAATAATCTCTTCCGCGTTCTTCGCAGTTCTCCGTCTTTGCCGTCCAACGTTCGTTACCTCTGCAATAATAAAATATACTGTAATAATATCACGCAAACTCCTTTAAATAAGGCTTATTGGCTTAGCATGCTTTTGCACTGACATGCATTTTGCCGTGTAGAACAAAATTTTAAAAACAAAATTTTCTTAGGAATTCTTTTCGATTATTTATTACCATTGGATATGCAGTAAAATAATATAATCACAGATATTATACAAATTGGCTTGGTTTCTAAACCAAAACTGTTTCATGCAGCAAAATTGTTGGCTTCAAAGTCAAGAACAGAATTAAACGGTTAAAATATTTATAACAAGAATCGCAAGTCAACTATAATAAATAAACTGGCTAATGAATCAGAACGTTTCACACAGAACAACAAAAGAAAAACTCCAAAAATAATTTTTTTCATATCTTTATCCTTTTTGAAAAATTCAATTAAATAATAATTTCAAAACAAAATAATTTTTAGTAATTTGCAATTGTTATATTTTTGTATATCACAAATATATATAAATGTCGAAATATCTTACATATACAAATATTGTTTTATAAATTATCGTTGTAAAACTATTTTACAGATATCTGTTATAGATTTACATTAAATATTGCAGACTGTTGACTATGAACTACTAAAAGCCTTTACCATGTTCTTTTTTCCACTTTATTTTTAATCCTTTGTTGTAGGCTTTGCTGTACTTACAGAGAGAATATCATATTTTTATAAAATATTCCCTACCTTGTTTATCTTCTTCAATAATACAGACTTGTGCTGCACTGATGTCTAATCTTTTGTTTTTCAATCGTTTCCTTCTCTCAACGATTGTATCAGTGTCATCAGTTTCACTGTCATCATCTTTCACAATAATTGATACTAATGCAGGCAGGTTTGTCGATGTGGCATTATCTGTTATTTTGCTTATAGGTTTATTAACGTCATGGTCTTTATTTGTTATTTCTATCTCATTTAGATCTATTATATCAGATGAATTATTCTTATTTTCTGTTAATTCAGAATTCATTTCTCGTTGTACGGATTGCATTTTTCGTATATTTATATCTTGAGTTATATCATCATGTTCTAAGCTGTCCATCTTACTTTTACGTTTCTTAGAATATTTAAAAGATGCAGAATTGTCATCAGAACTATAGGATTTAATTGTATCTATAGAATCGTGATCATTATCAATTTCAGTGAATTGATGTTTCAAAACAATAACTTTTTCTACGACATTGTCACTTAATATTGTTAAATTATCATCACACTTATCAGAAATAGTCGTAGTTTTAGATAATTCTTCGTCACTACCAATCTTAAGTTTGACAGAATTTACAAGGTGATCTTTATTATCTTTATCATCTTTATCATCTTTATTATCTTTATTATTTTTATCATCTTTATTATCTTTATTATCTGAAGTATTCAAATTATTAGAGTTGCAAGTAGCAGAATCTATTTTGTCACATTCGTTGACTGCTTCTTTTAGTTTCACTTCATTGTCATTCATTAGTTCTACATTTCGACTATCTGTCTCTGTAGGATTGTCGATAGATAAATTATCATTCTCTTGTATATTTTCTTCAGATATTTCTTTTTTACACGCATTATCCACTTCAATGATATTTAAATCTTTATTTTTATCAGAATTAAAAATACATTTTATTACACTATTTTCTCTTTGAGAATTGTTATCTGACACTTCACTTTTAACGATATTTTCATCGTCAATGTGATTTAACTGCATTTCGTTTTTCATATTATTGGTATCTTGAGAAATTTTTTTGTCATTTATATTCAACGTGTATTTTTCATTAGTCTCACCATTAGCAATTACAACTGTGCTATTTTCCAAATTATGTACATTATTTTGTGTCAATTTGTTTTCTGATGTACATTCATCTGAGGGTAATGCTGAATTTTCCGGATCATTTATTGCTGTAAAAAATTTTGATGAAGTGTTCGATTTCTTCTTTGTATCTTTAAATCGATAAATAATTTACGCAATATATATCATATATAAAAAGCGATTATATATCCATTTCAAAAATTTTCCTTTATATTTTGTATGTGTCACGCAGAAGAATAATGCAATATATTGTCCTGTTATTATTCACATAGTTCGTCAGTTGTAAAAGTATTACCTGAATTAGGTTCCTTCGGTGTTGGTTTTTCGCCACCAGATGTGACTGCTTCTTCCACAACCTGTTGTGGATCAGAGCTTGAATTTTCTTCTGTAATTATATCTTTAGGGGATATTTCTGCAAACAAAATGGTAATCTATATGTATATATATATATATATATATATTATATATATATATATATATATATATATATATATATTGTATAGTACAAAAAGATCAGATATATCAATAAAGAAAAGATTTTTATTGTGTTTTACAAAAACTTATTTTGTATATTTTTACATTTACCATCTTATTTCTAAGTTGGCATAACCATTCTATTTTGAATGGTATTCGGTTAAATTGATTATAAAACACATCTACAGTGTGCCCGTTAAATAATGAGATAATATTGCGAGAGAACAAGTGTGTGTGTGTGTGTGTGTGTGTGTGTGTGTGTGT